ACTGGCCTACACTGTTTAGAGACACATTTGAGTTTGTCAAGAGGTGTGACTGATGTCAACGCACTGAGAATATTTCGAGGAGGAATGAAATGCCACTAAACAACATTTTGGAAGTGGAAATATTTGATGTTTGGGAATTGACTTCATAGGACATTTCCTCCCTTCATTCTCAAATCAGTATATTTTGGTAGCAGTGGATTACGTATCAAAATGGGTGGAAGCAGTTGCACTGCCAACAAATGACTCAAAGACAGTAATTGGGTTTCTGAAGAAATATATTTTCACTTGATATGGCACACCGCGAGCTATAATCAGTGACGGGGGTAAACACTTCTGTAATCGCTAGTTTGAGCAGCTGTTAAATAAATATGGTGTTAAACACCGTGTCGCTACCCCATATCATCCACAAACTAGCGGGCAAGTTGAAGTATCTAATCGGCAGTTGAAAAGGATACTCGAAGTCACAGTGAACTCGTCTAGAAAAGACTAGTCTAAAAAGCTAAACGATGCATTGTGGGCTTACAGAACAACATTCAAGACACCGATAAGCATGTCTCCATATCGCCTAGTTTTTGGGAAAGCATGCCATCTGCCATTAGAAATGGAGCACCGGGCATATTGGGCTATGAAACAGTTAAATATGGAATTGAATGCCGCCGGTGAAAAGCGTCTACTGCAACTGAATGAGTTGGATGAATTTAAAATGGAGGCTTATGAAAATGCAAAACTTTACAAGGAGCGAACCAAGAAGTGGCATGATATGCACATTCAGAGGCGAGTATTCGAAGTGGGGCAACAAGTACTACTGTGTAACTCGAGACTCAAGCTATTCCCAGGAAAACTACGATCACAGTGGTCGGGTCCCTACACAGTTACAAAAGTCCTACCATATGGGGCTATACAAGTGAGCCATGAGAATAAGGGTACCTTCACTGTTAATGGGCAAAGGTTGAAACACTACTAGGGCGGTGACTTCTCTAACCAACAGTCAACTGTTCAACTCGAGACGCCAGAATGAAGCAGCCGCAGAAAAGTCGAGCTATCGACTATAACTTAGCGCTGGGTGGGAGACAACCCACTGTATCCTTTTTATCTATTTATTTACTTTATTATGCTTTCTGCATTAGATTAGAAAGTTTACTTTCAAATTCATTTAGTATTTTGTTATGTGGTCATCGATCATCTAGGCATGCTAAAAGAGTCCAAGCACTGTTCACACGAGTCCTTAAGTATCACACACGACTTCGGGTTGATTTGAGTTGTTTGGGTAGTTGAGTGTGGAATTCAAGCATTTCGAGGCAACTTATGTTTTCTAAATTTCACATGTCAATGTTTTAAAAATATGTCTTTGAAAAATTGGAGGCGTTGAGAGCCGGATCATTTATTAAATAAAAAAAAATTGGACAAAAATAAGATTTTTTGGGGAAAGAAGCATTGTTTTATTTTATTTTATTTCTTTTGAAAAAAAAAGTGTCTATGCGATCATATAGACAACCGAAAGAAAAAGCCAAAAAAGAAATATAACTATGCGACCAGCTTTTAACTATGTGGCCGCATAGAAGTGGATCGGCCATGGTTAAAGCCATGACCGATTCACTCTTCATTCACCCTCTCACTCTTTTCCTAAATTCCTCTCCCGACCACATTCACCTAGGGCACATTTTGGGCTAACATCACACAAGAATTTAATCATTGCATTGTGATAACATTGAAAGGAAATCCACTTTCTCCCTCTATTCAACCCTACAAACACAAGGTACGTGTTCTCCCCCCCCCCCCCCCCCCCCCCCCTCCTCTTCCTTTTTTTTGTTTTG